GGGGGGGGGTGGGGAGGTGCCTTGTTCTGGGAGACAGCCTTTCCCTCAAGGAAGCGAAGAAGATGCCCAGGCAGAGTGCTGGGTGAGGAGCAGGGACCCAGCTGTTGCCACCAAGTGGCCTCAGGCCAGGCCCTTCCCTTCCCATCCCAGCCTCACCTGTGAATGGAAGCTTCCAGTCTTTTTTTTTTTTTTAATTTTTTTTTTCAACGTTTATTTATTTTTGGGACAGAGAGAGATGGAACATGAACGGGGGAGGGTCAGAGAGAGAGGGAGACACAGAATCGGAAACAGGCTCCAGGCTCTGAGCCATCAGCCCAGAGCCCGACGCGGGGCTCGAACTCACGGACCGCGAGATCGTGACCTGGCTGAAGTCGGACGCTTAACCGACTGCGCCACCCAGGCGCCCCTGGAAGCTTCCAGTCTTATCATCACTCAGGGCCTTGAATGTGAGGGTGTCATGACTTTGGCAGGGGGTGGGGTTCCGACCCCCATGATTCTCTCTGCCAGGTCCGGGGACAGGAGAAGCAATTAGGCAGAGAGCAGGTATGGGCGTCCCCAGCTTCTTGCCCCAAGGGTAATACTTCAGGTCAAGGACGGTGTGGTGGGAAGGAGTCACAGAGAAGCTCCACATGCCCACTGACCTGAGCCGAGGTTTAGCGGGTGCCCTCATAGCCCCAGCGTCCGCCTAGCCCATCAGCCGCCCCCCACTCCCACCCCACCACCACTCTCCCCTTCCCCAGGAGCCAGGCTGTCATAGGTGATGAACCCTGGGCTTCCAGCCGGTGGGGTGGTAGGGCCACCTGGGACACAGGGGACCACACCCAGCCTAGGCAGGAGGTGGAACACAGGCCCAAGTGAGAGGGATGGGAAGTGTGTTCCTCACGGTCTTTCAGCCTCAAGAGCCTCTAAAGGGTCTCCCAGAAGGGCCAGGGCAAGGGCTCGCAGGTCAGATCACTGTAGCCCGGTGCCTTCAATAGACAAATGTGGCCCAGAGAATAGGGGCAAAGGACTCCCCCAAGGCCACTCGGTGGGTCTCTGCCTCCTGGCTCAGGCCTTTTTCTGCAATCCTGGGTCCTACTGCAGGGTCCCTGCACCCACTGGGGACATACACACACCCCACTCGGGACACCTGGCTGTCACTGCTGGCTATACTGAAGTCATGGGGAAAGCAAGAGGGGGACGAGGGTCTACTCTGGACCCCTCCCCAGCCCTGCTAGGAGATGCAAGGCTAAATGGGGAGCCCCCTGAGGTGCTGGCTGTGCTGAACTTCCTGGCCCTTTCCTGGCACACCTGGCTTGACCTGCCAACTGAGCCCACCCAGAAGCGGGGGAGCAGAGCAGCATGGGAGGCAAACTGAGCAAGGGCCCCTGGCACATGCCTTTGGACTTTTCCCAGGCGTGGGACTCAGTCTCTGCCATTGCCTCTGAGCTGGTGGCCCTGGACTGAGATGGCATGGCTGTCTCCCCAGGTTGTGGGGACCCAATGAGCCACGGCACGGGCCACAAGACGGAAGCGTAGGTCTCCAGGACTTTCCAAAGCCCCTTCTGAGAGTTTCTTTGCCCCCGGGGCTCTGTGCACCGACCAGGAAATGGGGAGAAGGGAGTCTGGCAGAAGCCAGTTGACTGGTGAGGTTGTGGGCAGACAGCTGGTCTGAGGATAAACTGGGGACAGAGATGGGGATGGCAGGAAGGTGGCCTCGGGCAGCTCCTCCTTGTTGCCCTCCAGAGACCTTCCAGAAAGCCTCCTGTGGCTCCCGTGGCCACGTCTGGAGTTGGGTTTGTGTGAATGCACTTAAGGGGAGGGGAGAGAAGTTCTCTCCAGAACAGAGGCAGCAGGGGGCGGAGGTGGGGTGACTGCAGTTGGGGAGGGGACAGGGAAAAGGCCGCCTGTGTCAGCAGGAGCCTCCTCCCTGGTGCCCCGGACCCTGATTGCAAAGCCCCTTCCTCCAATCCCGACACCCTGCCCAGCATTAACACTCATAAAGTCATCCGCTGATCAAGAAAGTGAGAATAAAATTACTTTTATTTCCAAAAAATGTAGGGGGAGCAGGGAAACAACATGGTAAAAATTAAGATCAGTTCCCTATGGGTCCATTCTGTCTCTGGGGGAGGGACAGCTCCCTGGGCCTCGCGTTCTCAGTAGGGGGGGGCCTCGGGCCGACGCTGCCATGGCAAGCCGGAGGTTTGTCACACTAGAGGCTGGTCCCCCCCGGCTGGCCAGAGCTGGGGGACTACAGCCTTCCCCCAAAGGCCCCCACTTTGAGCTTGCTTCCGCTCCCCTCCCCTGATGCTAAATATTGGTTAGTGGGTTAGATTTCCGAATGCCCCAGGCCGGAGGCCTCCTCCCTTTCACTTCCCATCCCCTCGGCCACCTGGCCTCCAGCCCCAAACGCCTAGTTGCAGTGTTTACTCGGCCCTCATTAGACCTCCCTCCCAGTCCCCCCCCCTGCACCAGCCCCCCGCCCCCGCCCAGCTGCTCAGGGTCACCTCCTCCGGGACTGCCTCCCTCTGTGCCCCCACTGCCCCCTCGACGACAGC